TTATATGCTTTCTGTATACCCTTTTCTAACTCCCTCTTTGTCCTACATTGCATCTTCTAGCACACAAGGCTAATGAGTTATGCTCTTCGAACAGGTATAGTAACAGTAAAGTTAACAAAAATGCTAACTTTATTTGACCCAAAGAGCAATACCGTTGTTGTTTCACTGTTCATATATTTATCTAATTAGTCTACTTAACTGGGGGGGGGGGGGGGGATAAATCAATTTAAACAGCAAGAATACCACCTTCACAAAAATACAAATCATTGAATAACTACAATATTGGTCATACAGTATAACAATTACTTCATAGTCCATTTTATTTATATTTCTAAAAACAAGTGCCTTGTTTTAATAATCCCCTTGTGATTTCCCAAACTTTGTTTTCAGGGAATAAGAAATTTTAACATTTTGAATGTCGCATTAGAGCAAGTTTGTGATTTCTTTAGGTTTTTGCTTTCTAGTTTCACTTTCTGTTTGTGACCCAGAAGCAGATTTCAACAAATATGGTGAATGTTATTATTTATTTAAAATGTCTTTTTTAACCCTAGAAAGTGCTGCATTATCGCCATTGGGGTTTGTAGACAAAGTTGAATATTTTACAGCAAAAAACATAATATTGGATCGTACATTTCAGTCCGAACATGGATTCAATATTATGAGCTCATGCATTCATTAATGCAGTACTCACTTGTATTCAAGCATTTAAACATCTAAAACCAGGCAGAGGATCCTTAGGTCCAATTAAACTCAGGGGAGAAGAGTTAGAGCTCCAAATGCTTTAATGCTCCCTTTTATTAGTCCACTCAGGTCTTTATGGCCTTCATATATTCCTTCAAAGGTTACAGCCTTCGATCAGGAAAGCTTTAAATGCTGTAATTTCTCAACAGTAGTTTATAACAACTTTGTTTTTCTTTTTTTTTAAGTTGCACCAAAGATAGTTTGTAAAAATCAGTGCAAATCTTTTAAACAGTTCTTTTTATCAGTACAGCCCTGCTTCAGTAAACAATAGACTACAGTGGTTTTGTTGATGATGGAGAGCTGGATTTATATTGACATCGGTGCATATATGAGACAGTGTTGATCTGCTGTGGGAGGAAAATTTGAGTTGGAGACAGACAGTGTCTCCTCATCGCTTGTGGAAACTAAAAATATGCATGTTTGCTCCCAAAAACTAGAGGCCCTGTTCACATTACTTTTTAAAAATAGGTGTTTTTTTAGTGGAGGAGTCACTTGCTCACATATAAACAGTGTTTTGAGAATGAAACAAAAAATATATTTCCAATGTCTAGATTTGAATAACAAGTCAATGCTTTATTTGTATAAAATAAAGCAAATTAAAGCTCCTCGGTGGCAGGGCCCCGGGGTGAATGAGATTTGCCCGGAGTTCCTTAAGGCTCTGGATCTTGTAAGGTTGTGTTGGCTTACATGACTCTGCAATATTGCGTGGACATCAGGGGCAGTTCCCCTGGATTGGCAGACCGGGGTGGTGATCCCCCTATTCAAAAACGGGGACCGTACAGTGTGTTCTAACTGCAGGGGATCACACTCTTAAGCCTCCCTGGCAAGGTCTATTCAGGGGTTCTGGAGAGGAGGGTTCAGGGGTTCTGAGAAGAGGGTCCGTCGGATAGCCGAACCACGGACTCAGGAGGAGCAGTGCGGTTTTCATCCTGGTCATGGAACACTGGACCATCTCTACACCCTCAGCAGGGTCCTGGAGGGTGTGTGGGAGTTTGCCCAACCGGTCTACATGTGCTTTGTGGACTTGGAGAAGGCGTTCGACCACGTCCCTCGGGGAACCCTGTGGGGGGTGCTCTTGGAGTATGGGGTACCAGGCCCTTTGACATGGGCTGTTTGTTCCCTGTATGACTGGTGTCAGAGCTTGGTCCGGATTGCCGGCAGTAAATTGGGCTCGTTCCCGGTGAGAGTTGGACTCCGCCAAGGTTGCCCTTTGTCACCGATTCTGTTCATAACTTTTATGGACAGAATTTCTAGGCGCAGCCAAGGTGTTGAGGGGATCCGTTTTGGTAGCCTTAGGATCGCGTCTCTGTTTTTAAAAGATGATGTGGTCCTACTGGCTTCATCAGGTCGTGATCTACAGCTTTCACTGGAGTGGTTCGCAGCTAAGTGTGACATGGCCAGGATGAGGATCAGTTCCTCCAAATCCGAGGCCATTGTCTTGAGCCGGAAAAAGGTAGAGTGCCCTTTCCGGATCGGGGAGGAGGTCCTGCCCCAAGTGGAGGAGTTCAAGTATCTCAGGGTCTTGTTCACGAATGAGGGGGAAATGGAGCAAGAGATCGATAGGCGGATAGGTGCAGCGTCTGCAGTGAAGCGGGTGCTGTACCGGTCTGTCGTGGTGAAGAGAGAGCTGAGTCAAAAGGCAAAGCTCTCGGTTTACCGGTCGATCTACATTCCTACCCTTGTCTATGGTCATGAACTTTGGGTTGTGACCGAAAGAACGAGATCTCGGATACAAGCGACCGAAGTGAGTTTTCTCCGCAGGGTGTCTGGACTCTCCCTTAGAGATAGGATGAGAAGCTCGGTCATTCCGGAGGGACTCAGAGTAGAGCCGCTGCTTCTCCATGGCGAGAGAAGCCAGTTGAGGCGGCTCGGGCATCTGGTTAGGATGCCTCCTGGACGCCTCCCTGGTGAGGTGTTCCAGACACGTCCCACCAGGAGGAGACCCCGAGGACGACCCAGGACACGCTGGAGGGACTACGTTTCTCGACTGGCCTGGGATTGCCTTGGGATTCCCCTGAAGGAGCTGGCCTAAGTGGCTGGGGAGAGGGAAGTCTGGGCCTCCCTACTTAAGCTGCTACCCCTGCGACTCGACCCCGGATAAGCAAAAGAAAATGGATGGATGGATAAAACAAATCTACATATACAAGATACATAGATTTGTAGTAATAATGACGTGGCAGCTTGTTTCGTTAACCACTAACACTTTTTGACTTAGAAGCCACAAAGAATAGATTTTTTTTTGTTTGACTCAATTTATCCTGATCCAATCACTGATAAACTTTCATAATGACTTTCATTCAAGTGTTTATTAAATGAAACTAAATGGTAAACTGTATAAATGAAGAAAAAAAAAGTCAAGTAAATGAGCTACAATGGTTTTGGGAGAATATTTAGCCAATCTATATAAATAAATTAGCGTATTTTCCGCCGTACATGTCGCACCGCCTTATAAGCCGCATCAGTCCAAATATGTCTAATAAAGTGGAAAAATCCATAAATACTTTGCTTCGCAGTATACATCGCATCTATTACGCATCACCGCTGACAACTCGGAAATGCGGGCCGGTGTTGTGCCAAATATCGATTGGCTGCCAAAGGGCAGTCGCGGGAGCGTTCACAGGAGGACTTTAATAAGAATTTAACAAGTTTAACGCTTAAAAACAATTATTTGTTTGCTTGAAATTATAGTAAAGGTGTGTCTCAGTATAACTTTTGCTTAATAAATGCACTTTGACGGTCAAATCAGCTGCATTTCAAAAACTGATACACGGAAGTAGGAGCGCGCAGAGGGACAAGTTGCTGTGCATTTCTTCGAAATTTAACATGAAAACCATCTAAAAACAATTATTTGTTTTCTCGACTTTATAGTAAAGGTGTGTCTCAGTTGAACTTTTCCTTAATAAAAGGACTTTAACGGTCAAATCAGCTGTATTTCAAAAGTATTTGCTGCCTCGGTGCTCCGGGGATCACGCACGCAGACAGGGAGGAAATCAGGAAGGAGGAACGCTGCGTATTTCTTCGAAATTTAACAAGATAAGCAAGTCTATGGCAAGCCGATTGTGTCATTAATAATCAATTTTACCTATTACATGATACAATTGCATGCCATGCTACTCAAGTGCCATCTAGCAACTGAAAATGGTAGTGTTCAATATTTTCAGTCAGAATGAATGAAAATGGTCATATCTTAGTCAAAAATTAGTTTATAAATATGGGGAAAAAAATCCATAAATAAGTCGCAGGGCATGCAAATTATGCAAAATAATGCGACTTATAGGCCGAAAATATGGTAGTTATAAATTATGTGAGATTGCTTTTTTTTAAACATAGAAATAATTAACCCTTCATTTTCATTACTGTTTGTGTGCGTGCACGTGTATTTGTTTGTTTTGTTAGCAAAATATTTGACAAACCAGAAGACATATTTTAAAGAAGCTTTTAGAAAATAATGATTGGTCGATACAGCTGATTAACAATCGGAGGCAACATAATTCAAGATGGCAGCCACAGACAACTGACAAAAAACAAATCCAGAACACAGAAGTACAGTAGCTAAAACAGTCTGTTTTACAGATACTGAGCTGAGATCTGATGGGTAGTAGCTGAGAGTCATCCCCGTCACATACTCTGCGTGTTAACACATATCACAAGATCTCACAATATCGCATCAAAATGTGACAAATTATTTACAAGGTTTACCCAAAATGACTAAAATGATGCATTTTGGTCTTGGCCCAGACTATAGCTGTTAGCTCGTCACTTTGGTTAGGCTTAAACTATTTCTCCAAACGGAGTTCATTAAAAGAGCCATCTATAACAGGTAAGATATTTACTATTCACAAACTTCTCATTCTACTGGTAGCTAAAACATTTTTTTTTAAAAGGGACACCGGTTGGTTCTTCAGGGGTCAAAGGTTTCAGTCCATCAAGAATTATATGCACGAAAAGAAGCACTTTGAAAGTGAGAAATCTCAAATGTTATGGCTGCAGAAATCTTTGCCTGGAGCAAATTTGCATCCTGATGAAGAAATGTCTTGGTATGTGGGAGGTACTGGCAAACATCCTGGTTTATGAGCTGCCCATCAGCTGCTTGCGAAGCAGCAAATATAGAAGAGAAGCCGAGAGGAGAGAGAGAGAGAGAGAGAGAGACGTAAACGCACAGGGAAACAAAGCAGGGAAAGAAAAACAGATTGTGGATTTAAATGTGCTGAAGCTTGAGAGAGGAAGATGAGGAGAAGCTCTGCAGCCTTCAGTCAGATCTGCGCTCGCAGCTGAGGAGCAGAGCGGGAACTCCAACACCTTCAGGGTTTTATAATCCCACTCTCAGACCGGAGGAGGATTCTGTGAACCTGGAGAGCAAAGATGAACCAAACTGCATCCGTCTCCCATCAGATCGACTGTCAGCCCGCCAAAGACACAAAGGTATGGTCTCCTCATGTGGCTCCCTGCTCGTCTTCATCAGATCAGAGTAAAACTCCCAGCTTTAGTTTCTTTATTTCATGGCATTAGTCTGTTCTTGTTGGAAGCCTGTTCCCTCCATTTTTATTAAAAATATTCAAAGTTTTACTGATGATGTACTCCTCTGTGAGTCGCCACCTCCTCATGTCGGAGGAGTTTGTGTGCCTGAGATGGGTCCGAGAAAGAATGATTCATAAAACGCATATGGGCAGAAGATAACAAGGACTTCAAAGTCCCTCACCTGGACAGGGGCTGCAGGGGCCGCACCCTGGAGCCAGGCCTGATGGTTACTGCAGCGATTTAATAGTGTGAATGTTTATGAAGCATTCACGCTATTGTGATCCATTTTCCTTGCGTATGTTTTTCGGCATCTTTCTCTTCCTGCAGTTTTCAAGCTTTTGCAACAAATCATATATCAAGACTTGTTGAGGAGAAGGGTGCTGTGACTTTTGATATTGGTGCAACTTTAGCTTTTTGAAATATTTAACCTTTTCTGACGTTTTTTTTTTTTCCTCATAGAAAATGAATTGAGCTTATTTTACGTCCTTCAGATCTTTAGATCTGTTTATAACCTTTCACTGCTCCTTTCACGTTTTGTTCAGGTTCAGCTTCTTTCAGTTTCTTTGTGCAAATTTAACCTTTTTTTTTTTACAGCTACTTTCAGCTCTTTTCAGCTGTTTTGTGCTCCTTTCTGCTAACTACAGCAATTTTGTGCTTCTTCCAACTTCTTTCTGCTAATTTCAGCTTGTTATGCTCCTTTTGGCTTATTTCTGCAAGTTTCAGCTTATTCTGCTATTTCAGCTACTATTGAACTGTTTTGAAACTCTTTTTTTTTTTTTAGATTTTTCAGCTAAATCCACATTTTTTGCACTCATTTCTACTTTTCCAGTTTTGCACATTCATATTTCTCTGTCAGTGGACTCCATCCAAACCTTTTGGCACTGCAAAAAGCTGAAAATAACAAGTTGCCCATTTTTGAAAGTTGAAACGAATTTAGGGGAAATGTATTCGTAAGAAAATGATTTTACGATGACAAATGACACTTTATCGCACGCTGCCGTAAAAAGCGAGCAATCGTGTGCTTTTATTGTACATCGTTTAGAGAAAGAATGTAATTATTGCTGTTGTTGCAATTAAAATAGTCTCCGACCTCTTCACGGTGTTAATGTTAGAGGAACTTTAACAGCAGCAGCATTAAAACCTGTTATTATTGCCAGCAGTTTATGCAAAGAGGGTCTTAACTGTGAGCAGAACCTTCCCAAAGGAGGGAACCAAGTCTAATCCTGAAGGATCCTGTGCCTCACATCCGGAGTCATCCGACAGAAGGGAGCGTCGATAAGAGCCACGACTTCTGCTGGAATATGTATTTATGTCACGTTGTCGGGGATTTCCTCAGATGCAGGCTGGTTTTGAGGCTTTCTCCAAACGTGTTAATAAAAGGATGTTAATTTCATTCAGCAAAAGGTTTTAAATGTCAGGGGTGTAATCACAGACATTTACATCTCTAGATGCAGGAAGAGGGCCACCTGCATCATGAAGGACCCCACTCACCCAGCACACACACTTTTTACCGAGTTCCCCTCAGGAAGGAGGTTGAGGAGCATTACGTGTAGAACCACTAGACTGAGGAACAGCTTCTACCCTGAGGCTGTTAGACTCACGAATCTCTAACCAGACTATCACTGTGAAAAATCACATGCTGATCTGTTTCATGTTGCTGCTGATCTGTTTCATGCTGCTGCTGACCTGTTTCATGTTGCTGCTGATCTGTTTCATGTTGCTGCTGATCTGTTTCATGTTGCTGCTGATCTGTTTCATGTTGCTGTCGATCTGTTTCATGTTGCTGCTGATCTGTTTCATGTTGCTGCTGATCTGTTTCATGTTGCTGCTGATCTGTTTCATGTTGCTGCTGATCTGTTTCATGTTGCTGTGTTCATTCATGCTCATCTGCTCACACAGACTCATGTTCGTGCTGCTGTTCGGCGTATTGTTTTTATTGTTTTTGTACTACTAGTGCTTAGTGTATTTTTTTAGTTAACATTGTTCTTAGTTCATATCTTAGATCTTATTACGGGTTTTCTTTTACATTTTATACTTTTGTTGGATGTAACTGGGTGCACACAATTTCGTTCCACTACATGTACCACATGTGGCATGTATGACAAATAAAGAACCTTGAATCCTTGTAATGGTTCACGCATTTGTATCGAAACATCACACTAACAGACGTCAGCGACGGGTTCAGGCATCCAGACGAGGACTAGTCAAAGGCCGTTCTTGTTCCTGTGGGAGCAGGTGCACATTTTGAAGTGTTTCACCGACTGCCATGACAGAAATGGATTGGAAAGACACCATCTAAAGCACTCTGCACTAAAGCAATGCAGAAACTATGAGTTCACACCTGGATCACAGTGGACTCCATGTGGCAGTCCTTTGGATGAAACGTTTTCTTACAAAAAATAAATAAATAAAATTACCTGGATGGTTGAGCCTACTTACTCTTTTTGTTTTTAACCATTTTGGCCAGGTTGTCCTCGGGCTGGTTCGGTGAGTAAGCGGCCATTTTGCCTATAACAATTGATTGTTATGCACTGATGATCAATTGTTTTAGTGACTGAACTGATGAAGTCCTTCGGATGACGAATGAAACGTTTTCTTCCAAAAATGAAACTGTCCAGATGACATGATTTGACTATTTTGTGATTTGTTATACCGACATTTCACACTCAAAAAAAAAAACTAGAGGGGGAGAAATTCTGCTGAATCTCCCCCCCCCCCCCCCCCCGCAGCACACATCATGCACAATCAGAATCACCACAGACAGTGAAGTTTTCAGACTGGATCTTTACGTCCAGTTGATGATAAGAAAGATCTGGTGTTTCTGTTGTTATCCAAAGAGAAGCGCTAGTTTGTACATATGTCACAAAGAGACTGCCATCGTTTCCAGCAGAGGACGTGCCCCTACGCTGTCGAACCGAGGCACACTTTGTCCCGGTGAGCTACGGAGAGGCGCCAGTGTCTCTGAGCCGTCTTCAGCATGCACAAAATTGTCCCATCACCTTCCGCGAGTTCTTTTGCCGTCTTTATACGTTATATTTGACTTTCTTTATCATTTTTACTGGAACAGTTGGCTGTTTTTTCTAACAACCTCGGCCAGCTGCTCCTGAGCAGACGCTGCTCTGAGATCAGCTCACTGCAACCACTTTACATCAACATACACACCCATGAGGTTCTGACCAATCACATAAGATGCGAGAACTAGTTCTGAGTGAGGTCACTGCACAAGATGTTTAATGAGTGAGCGGTGAGAGGAAAATTAAACTATTTCCATCACGAAATCAGCAAAACATCAGCAAAACGAGAGAATGGAGCTTCACACTGACTTTAAATCAGGCTTGTTTGGTTGTTTATAGAGAGAGGAGGTTATCCCCTACAATACTTCAAAACAAGCCCTGACCTTTGACCTTTAACCTGCTAACTGAGGCCTGTAGAGTGAAATGTTGCTCATTTCTCTGATTTCACAGCCTGACCTTTTAGGGTGAATTTGCTGCCACAACTGGGAAGCTGCTTTAATGGTTTTGCACTCTTGAATATATTTTGTCCCTGAAGAATGATGAACTATAAATAATTTGGAAATGGCTTTTGACCCTTCCTGATTGATGGGCAGCACCAGTTGCTCCTCTGAGGTCATTGCTGATGTCTTTCCAATTTGGCATTGTGTTAACACACACCTGTGTGCTCCAGAGCAGCAACAACTGCTGCTTTTCTAAAGTTTTGTAGAACTTTAGGTAAAAAACAGATTTTTTTTTTCCTTTTATTTGAATGTTCTGGACCCTAGACGTGAAAGAAGGTGGAGATTCATTTTTCCCATAATTTCATTTATATAAATATATATATATATATTCATTTTCAGTTGAATAGTATAATTTAAATTAATTTAAACATTTTTACTTTGTTTTTGCAGAATTTTTTGAAAAACAAAGGAAACCTAACCTGGTGAAACATGTGCACATAGGATGTAACTACATTTTACCATAAAAGCAAGATTTTATTGTACATTAATAATAATAACTGGAGAAATTGCATTTCCTGTGGGGAAAAAAAATAACTTGCTGAAAAACAGCTGAAATCAGCTAAAAACATTCTAAAATGTAGCTGAAATGGAAGAACAAGCCAAAATTAGCAGAAGTTTAAGTTCAAGTAGGTTTTATTGTCATTTCATGATGTAGTACATGAGGTGGAACAAAACTGTGTACACAGGGTCCCAGTTACACCCAAACGTAGCAAAAATATAAATTGTTAAACAGTAAATAAGGATCTAAGATATAAATTAAGAAATATTCTAAACACTAATAGCAAAACAATACGCCGAACAACAGCAGCACCAACATGAACAGAAGACAGCAGAAAGAGCGCATATGTGCTCAATTAGGTTTAATTAAGCAGAAATGAGCACAAAAATTAAGAAATTAGCTAAAAAAAAAAGCCGAAATTGGAAAAAAAAATGGCTGAAAAGAAGCTGAAAATGCAAAAAGAAGCCTAAACTACCAGAAGCTACAAGGAAAACTACATAGAGGTGGAAAGAATTGAAATTAGCAAATAAATAAATGTGAAATTTGCTGAAAAAGCTAAAATTAGCATCAAAACAGCTGAATAGCTGAAAGAGCAGGAAAAGCTGAAGGGGGGGCTAAAAAAAAGCATGACGAGCTGAAATTAGCATAAAAAGTTATTTAGGCTGAAAGTAGCAGAAATTAACATTAAAAACTATTTTTTTTTCGGAAAACAACTAAAATTAGCTAAAAAGCTAGCTGAAAATTTAGAACAAGCTAGTAGTTAACAAGTTAGTAAAAAAAGGCAGAAAGAACACATTTGCCATTTATGCTGAAAGAAGCAGAAATGAGCCAAAAAAAAAGAAAGAAGGAAATTATCTGAAAAAGCTGAAATTAGCCAAAAAAAAAAAAAAA